AGTAATCAAAGTTAAGCAACGTCGAGCGTTGAAAGCTCTGCTGCCCGAGTTTCTCCTCTAAACTCTCTCCCTCCCCCCCAGCAACTCACTGGAAGCAACTCACACCGACCGGGTGTAGGACTGATGACCATACCCCGTGTACTTAATCGGGAATCGGGATGTGGTCTACCAGGATGTTAGTAGCCCCCCTGAGGTTCGGTCCATAGACAGTTCGTTTCGGGGAAAGAAGTAAAGGTAATCGTGTGCCTGCTGACTGCGAGCAGTCATAATCCATGGATCTAGACCGATTTGTCACTGTCCTTGAACCCGAGTGAGTCAGTTGGAAATATTATTTCGTATATAAATATGTATATATTTGATATTTTTTGTTTATTTAATTCATAAGTATTTTGGCATGGAATAATCCTTATTTTTCTATACACGGTTTTTCTAAGGGACTTTGTATATTCTCTTTTACATTGGCTTTTGTACGCTATACATATTTTTTTAAGAAGAGTATGGCCTTATCTCCATAAATCATAAAACATTGTTTGACATAGGTTAAATTTCGATAAAAAATGTATATAAATAGTCATTTTTTAAAACAACATTTGATCATTGAATGATTGAGATTTTAAGTTGAAACATTGTTTAAATATGATTAATAATGTTCCTTAAATTTAGAAATAATCTTTAATTAAAATGCTAGTTTTTTTTAAAAATATTTATTATATATTTTTTTAGGAATGGGAGAAATATATGAATGAATCCGTCGACGGAGTAATATACTTCAGCTGGGGATCCCATTACCAAACAAAAAATATGAGGCCTCATGAACTCACTGCTTTCATGTCAGCATTCGGAAAGCTAAAACAAAGAGTACTGATGAAAGCGGACGAAGATACCCTGCCGGGGAAACCGGATAATGTAAGGCTCGCCAAATGGCTACCTCAAGCCAGTATACTAGGTAATAGTTAATTTATACCGCGTTAATTATATATTTTAATATATAGTTCTTCATTTATACTTGTAAATATTATAATATACCACAATCGATTCCGGATAAAAATAACATTCGTACAGAGACATAGTTCTTCTCTTTGAATAAGTGATGTGGCAGAAACTTTTGATTCTAGAAGTTGATTTTAATAATCAAGAATTATTGTTATAAATCTGCCCATCAGTAAATGAAGATAAAACAAAATATATATGATAAGCCGAACAGAAGGAACTGCATAGAAGGGAAATGGCTTACACAAGTAGACAAATTGAAATACACCGGTTGAAAAGTCTGGATGAATGACCAGCGGTGGTCAGAAATAGATCAGCGTTTAAAAAACCTCTCGAATCCCGAAAAATCTCAAATTAAGGGTGTAAAATGCTATGATTAAGATTCTGATATACGGCTGCAAGATCTGAACACTAACCAGTACCCTAAAATAAAGCATTAACAGATTTGAGACAAAAATTCTCCGTACGATAACCTAAAGGATCTGGGGTCAGAGTACTGACACATGATGGATAAAGACCAATAAAGAACTGCTTATAGAAACAGGTCAGTTAATAACTCACATGAAACGAAGGCAAGCAGTTTAAGATGGGTAGAGTATGTTGCTGGGAGCAATACATCAAGAAATCTCTACACATGCAAAAAAAAAAAGATATGGATAGATAGAAAGTCTGTGATGTCAACAGAAAAAAGAAGAAAAGATTATTGGATAGTTATATTTTTTTTTAACAACAATGTGAATCTTGCGAAATTTTGATATTGTTAGAATAATTTCATATACGGAATAAAGAATGTATTTAAAAATGTTGGATATGACGATTCATTTTTAAATCAGATGGGAAAAAACTCCACCATTGGTTCTAACCAGAAGTCGAGAGAACATGGAAATAAAAAAAAAAAAAAAATGGTTTACACTTATTTAAAATTACGGTGTTACATTTGTTCATGTATTGTTATTATTTTTTTAAAGAGAGAATTCTTGATATCACTAACGTTTTAGGTCATCCAAATCTTCACGCTTTTATCAGCCACGGTGGACTTCACGGGATTTTGGAAGGGACTTATCATGGCGTTCCAATTATAGGGACACCACTTTTCGCTGATCAACAGAGCAACGTTGATTTTTGTGAAGAGGCTGGTTATTGTATAGATGTAAATCTTAATACCATCACTGAAGAAATCCTCTTAGATGCTATTAACAGGGTACTGACTAATTCAACGTAAGTAGTAAAGTTTTTGAAATATGGTATAATATTAATTTATTTAAAGAGATTTTTTGAAGTATCGAAGTATTTAAAACTTGTGTTTAAATCGATTTGAAAATATTAATAAATTTGTGATATTTTTCCATTAAATAATAATCATTAAAATATAAATACTGACCTCTGATTAAATAAAATGGATTTAATCAACTTGCGAAAAGCTATGTGACGATCACATAAGCAAACGACTGGATTGCTTTTCAAGTTTGACGTCATAAATTATTCGGTGAGATCTCCTGATTTTTTTTTTAAGCAAAGCGACTCATGTTATATGAAATAACATATTTATATGAAAATAAATTGTTAATACTTTAAAAACTACAAATTTTGAAATAATTTAATTTAATTAAAATATTTTAATTTAAAAAAAAAATCCCGACTACAGAAATAACTTTATCCGTCTTAAGGGACGAAAAATGATAAATATCTACATAAAAGTATCAGTGGATTATTAATTAATTTCCACGGATTTTGAAACTTGGCGACATAGTTTTAATAATTCGACACATTATTAAAGTTGCTGTTCAATATCAATATATCTATGCATCTATTGAAACTAACGAACAACCTTATTTTTGAAGGAAGGAGATGGTCCGGGGTTGCGGTCATAAATAGGCTAAATAGTGGTAAAACTATTTTATTGAAAGCCGACGTTTCGACCCGACTTTGCAGGTCTTCATCAGGGAGGTGTGTTCAGCTAGGAGTTTCACTTAGAAACTCAAGTACTAGATAAAGACCTGCAAAGTCGGGTCGAAACGTCGGCTTTCAATAAAATAGTTTTACCACTATTTAGCCTATTTATGAACGCAACCCCGGACCACCTCCTTCCTTCATAATGCAACGGTCAACTATTAAATATGTAACCTTCTTTTTGATGTAGATATACATCGTTTGAGTTCTACCAATGGGTAGTTTCTCTTCATGTTGTACATGCCTTGTTACCAATTTCTCATTTACTTATTGTATTCTCTATGTAATACAGTTGTAAATTCCATTAAAATAATAAAAAGATATACATCGTTTCCTGTTCCTTAAGACGAATCAAGTTATTTTGCTTAGTCGGTTTTTTTTTTTCAGGTTAAATTTTGTATGGTAATAAATTGATATTTTTTTATTGTGATTAACAATAAGTAAATATCTAATTGTTGATGTTAGAGCAATTAATCAAATAATCAAAATTCCATTTCAATAAACCTGTTTCTATTCTTTCAAAGATAAAAACATATCTTCAAAGATAAATAGTATTATTATATCGGTCCAAAACAAACTTTTTTTTTAATGTTTCAAATATTTGAAAACTATCGCTGTTGAAGTATCAATATTTTTGTTCTATATTTATATACTTATTCTTTTTAAAGAAAAAAAAAAAAAAAAAATATTTATTAGTATACTTAACCTGTAAAGTTATTACTTGAATACCATTTAAAAACAGCGTCTTTATACAAAAAGCGTAAGCGAATTCTCCCATAACCACATGTTAATTTCAGAGATCTTGTATTATAATTTATTTTTTAATGATTAACTATTTCCAGCTGAATAATATTTAATTTAAGACTAAAAAAGGTATTTTTTTTACAATAAAGTCATTAAAAAAATAATATTAATAAATGATTCAGATTCTGGGGTCCATTAAGTAAATTGAGATCTTTTCATAGCCATCTCTGCATTTTGTATGCCACTGATTCTGTTATTGGCAAGATTATGTTTCTAAGAAATTAATATAAGCATTTAAATAAATGGTTTAAAATATGTCAGAGTAATCTTCATATATTTTTACAGTTATAAAGAAAACGCTGTTAGAAGAAGTAAGATCATGAAAGACAGACCCCTGAGCGTCATGGATAACGCTGTCTACTGGGTGGAGTACGTTCTTCGGCACAGAGGAGCTCCTCACCTGAGATCTGCGGCTGTAGAACTGTCTTGGTACCAATATCTGCTCCTTGATGTGATTGTAGTTTGGGGGGCAGTCTTAGTTGTGGTTGTATTATTGTTAAGGAAAAGTATTAAATGTATATGTAAATTAAGGAAATCAAAAAGTAAAAAAGACTGATTTAAACCTTGGTACAGTCGAGTCAAGAGTAAAGTATCAATCTGTAATTGACCTGAATTTTATATATTTACTATAATATACTTAATAAACAACTTGTACATTAATGTAAAAAAAAAATGAATATTGCTATAATTGTTATAGAATATTCTTAATGTCAAACATATTTACTAAACAAAAATTAATGAAACTGTCTTATTTCTCCACTCTTTTCGAAAGTTGAAATAATTTAAGAATTGATTCATAGACTCTCAAGATACATTAAGATAATAACTTATGAAAGTAGGCTTAATTTATACTTAAGTAGAAAACCTTGAAAAAACATTCTATTTTTTTTAGAACATTTTGCTTTGTAGAGGTGTCTTTAGCCACAAATTGATATGAAGGTTTCTTTTAATATTTCGTTCGTTCGATTTATAAAGGAAAAGAAAAAGTAAAAAATCTTGAACACAGAAGAATGGCTTCTTCTGAGGCAGTGCATTATGTTCTCATGTGCGAAGGAAGCAAAGTTTCAAATATGGAAAAAAAAAATAGCTTAAATAGTGTTCAAAAAAACAATTTTATTTCAGAACATTATTACTTAACGTAATCATACTAAGATGAAAAATACTTAACAGAAGATAGTGATGTATGATGTCCACTAACAAATAAATTTTGAATGAACTGGTTTGGCTATGTCGCCAGAATGGAAGATTTACCGATATCAACTGAAAACTATGGATGATGCCCCTGACGTTGGGAGGCCAACCAAGGATGTTCTGTCTGGAATGCGTCGACCGATTGTGCAGAAGGAGAAGGAAAGGTCAAGCCAGGAACCTGGCAAGAAACCGAGAACAGTGAACATCCTGGTCAAACGCTCCTCTGCGCTGATTAGCACAATAGGATGACTAAGAAATAAAAAAAGAAGTTTTTTAGTAAGGCACTTACTAACTTATTAAATGGTTCTATCTCTCAAGTTTTACCTACTACTCTTCGCAATCTACGGGAAAATCCTTCGATAAGCAAATCAGGTTTTTAAAAATCTAATCTTCAGTCTCAACCAAGTACATCTACGCAAGAAATGGTTAAAGAGTTCCCTTTCTTTACTCCAACCCCGTACCGAGTGCTTAAAAATAAAAAGAGGAATAATGGAATCTGCAAAAATATTAAAAAAAAACAAGACCTCTTCTAATATTTGTTGTTCAGTTCTGCGCATGCGCTTGATTTGAATACCCACATTTCACGTCGTGTCCCACAGTTTTACTATTTTTTAGTAGAATAAGTGCTCTGTTTTACTTTTTTTTAAAAAAAAACTAGTTAGCAGACATCAAAACAACAACAATGGACTAACACCACAGTGAGTAGTGTTGTTATTTACTGTGTACTATTACAGACAGTGAATTTAGTGATTTAGCGTCTATAGGCTTAATCTCTATAGCCATAACAGCTGACGGCTCCCCTCTCCAGTTGTGGCCCTGCCACGTAACTGGCTGGTTCTCAGCTGGTGGTTCATCCATTGTAATAACACGCAGACGTAGTTTTATTTATTTTTTTTTTCCCCTTTCTTTTTTTTTTTTATATGCGATATTACCACCAAGTAATGTCAACTAAGAGGTCCCATTCAGTTGGCTCTACCCCACGTAATTCACTGCCTAAACAGAAAACACGTCGTAGTAAGCGATTAACACCCCCCGGAACTCCTCCAGCGAACACTCAAGTATCTGTGTCTCAACCACTGCCAAGTACGTCTTCACAAGAAATGGAATCTCCATTTTTTACACCTAATCCATACCAGGTGCTTGAAAATGACAGGGAAGAAATGGAAGATGCACCTATACCTCGAGAACCACGCCCACCTCCTATCTTTGTCAAATATTTGAGAAATTTCCAGTTGTTGTGTACTCAACTTAATAAAATCTGCCCAGGTAGCTATACATGCCTAAACAGAATAAATGATACAAAAATAATACCGGCCACACCTGAAGCGTACCGAAAAATCGTAAAATATTTAACAGACACAAATGCGGACTTTCACACATACCAGTTGAAACAGGAAAGAGCACTACGAGTTGTAATAAGAAATTTACACTCCTCAACCCCAATAGAAGTGATTAAAGAAGAGTTAACGGCGTTAGGGTTCAAAATACGTCAGATAACCAATGTTTTAAAAGAAAATAAAAACAACCAGGTGTAAAGAATAAAATCCCATTGCCCTTATTTTTCGTCGATCTAGAGCCATCGCCTGGGATCGAAAAAATATACGATGTGAATAGAATTTTCTACACCAGCGTAAAGGTCGAAAAACCGTACCCAAAAAGAGAGTTCATCCAGTGCCATAATTGCCAAGCATATGGCCACACCAAGTCTTATTGCCACCACTTACCACGCTGCGTGAAATGTGGTAAAACACACAAGTCTGGCGAGTGTAATAAACCAATTACAGAACCAACAGTCTGTGCCCTATGCCTGGAAGGCCATCCAGCCAACTACAAAGGCTGCCAAATTTATAAAAATCTTAAAGCGAGATATATGAAACCCAGGGACCCTGATGATACACCTAAACCAAGAAGAGGACCCGCTAAAATTGTGAACTCTAAGGTTTCTTTTGCCAAGCTACTTGGGGGTAGAGACCCGACTAATGTATGTGAGGCCCTGCCGCAAGAACAAACTCAACCCCAATCTCAATATCCTATCCCACCTAATGTACCTAATCAACAACAACCTCACCAACATCAAACCCAATATGTTCCTCCACCGCCTAATGCTACAGATCTAACCAGCTTATTGACATCCTTTCTTTCAGAATTTAAATCCCTTGTTACCCCACTGATATCACTTCTCACTAACCTAGTATCTCACCTTATCCCTCCTTTAAAAAATCCTTAAATGACTTCCATCAAACCCATATCCATTCTCCTTTGGAATGCGAATGGTGTTAGAAATCACATACACGAACTAACAGCCTTACTACAAGACAAGAACGTAGACGTAGCCCTAATAACGGAAACTCGACTGACTAAAAAACAGCTCCTAAAAATACCACAATACATAACTTACCGTACCGACCATCCTGACGGTAGAGCACATGCCGGTACTGCAGTCATTGTGCACCAATCCCTCTCCCATCACCTACTCCCACTGCCTACACACGATTTCCTACAATCCACCGCAGTCGTAATCAAAACCTTCTCCTTTCCTATTACCGTTGCATCAGCGTATTGCCCAAAAAAAATTAAAAAAAGAATTAGCCACCTTCAGATCCCAATCATTCAATTCCTACCTCACCACACTCTCTGCTCATGATAATTCCCTTTGGAATATCACCAGAAAAATCCTCAAATCCCATCATATTTCCCACCCTCTTCGACGAGATGATGGCTCCTGGGCAGCATCTGATGAAGATAAAGCCGAGGAATTTGCCAAACACCTTTCCTATACTTTCGCTCCTCATCCAGAATCCCATCCCAGCCACACAGTAAAAGTAGAAGAATCCCTCTCAATACCTATCCCACTCTCCTTACCACCTAAAGCTGTTAATCCCTCTGAGGTCAAATACCTTTTACGGAAAATCACACCTCGCAAATCTCCTGGATATGACCTTCTAACCCCACAGATCCTTCGACAACTTCCATCTAAAGCCATCATATTTCTTACATATATATACAATTGCATCCTACGAACTACCCACTTCCCTCTTTTATGGAAACATTCCACCATCGTCCTCTTCCTGAAACCAGGCAAACCTTCCAACAATACAGCATCCTATAGACCAATTAGCCTACTCCCAATCCTCTCAAAAATTTTTGAAAAGATCCTACTGAAACGAATCCTACCTATAATTGAATCCTATAACCTTCCTACTCATCAATTCGGATTTCGTTCCCAACATTCCACTGTCCAGCAAGGACTCCGAGTTGTTGACCATATATCCTCAACCCTAGAAAGCAAGCAGTATTGCTCGGGTGCATTTCTGGACATAGCGCAAGCTTTTGACCGGGTATGGCACGCCGGATTACTCTTCAAGCTTAAAATCCATCTACCACAGTCCTTATACCTAGTACTCCGATCCTATCTTTCCGACCGCTCCTTCCGAGTTCGCTGTGGCACCGAATTCTCCGACTGTTACTCAATAGAGGCTGGCGTTCCTCAAGGCAGCGTCTTGGGCCCCATCCTTTACATTCTCTTTACCGCTGATATTCCTGTCCATCCCGATACCCTCCTGGCAACTTTCGCTGAGGATCCTTTCTTCCAACTCAGATCCTGAAACAGCGTCCGCAAACTTACAAAGGCACCTCTTCCTGATTGAACACTGGTGTAAGAAATGGCGCATTAAGGTAAACGAATCTAAATGTAAACACATTACCTTCACCCTTCGGCGTAATACCTGCCCACCAGTTTATTTTAACTCCATCCAGCTTCCTTTCTCAGATACAGTCCGGTATCTTGGCTTTCTCTTAGACAGACGACTAACATGGAATCCACATACTCGACTTAAAAGACAGGAACTTAACAGACGATATGGCCAGCTATATAGACTACTGAATAGAAAATCTAAACTTTCTGGTGAAAACAAATTACTGATCTACAAGACAATACTGAAACCCATCTGGACTTATGGACTAGAACTATGGGGAACAGCCAAATTTTCTAACATCAAACGCATTCAATCATTTCAGTCTAAAGTCCTCCGTACAATAGTCAATGCTCCCTTCTATGTAACCAATAAAACCCTACATCATGACCTTAATATCCCATTTATTCTTGATCTTATCCAGCCAAATTTTCCAAATTTCACCAGAACCTTTCTCATCACCCAAATCCCGTTGTACAATCCCTATCAAGCACCCATCCCTACAATCCCCTTCGTAGGTTAAAGCGGCAGTGGCCACGAGACCTTTTATAAATATGGATATTTTGGAGTTCTAGCAATGGCCAGATTCTCCACTCAAGTCATGAGTGTCTGTGGCTGTAGCGCTCTTACTCATCCTCCGCTGGTTTAAAATACCAGTGATGTGGCTGAGGGAGAAGCGTAGGGATCTCCTAAGCCTCCCTTTTCCCTCCACATGTGGAGGGGACAGGATTGGTTCGGAGATCACCTGGCAAATTGTAAATAATGTATGTTTTATATAAGGTGTTGTTTTACTTTTATTTCTATTTTTATTTACTTATGTGTATATATATATTTTTTTTCTTTACTCTTTTGTTCTTTCTTCTTATTCTTTTGTTATTACTTTATTTATTTATATTTTTGTATAAACGGTATGAATGCAATCTCTGAACTCTATTATAAGTGTCCTTAACTGTGACAAATTGTAATACTTCTGAATAAAGTGTTTTTTAATAATAATAATATTTGTTAAAAATAGAAAAAAAAATAGGTTATTGTATGCCCAACTAAATAAAATCTGCTCTGGCAGTTATTCGTGCCTCAACAGGACCTATGACTCTAAAATAACATTAAGTATATTGAAAAAAATTAGACTCAAAAGACAAGAACTCAACTGACGATACGACCAACAACAGATTACTGATCAGAAAATCTTAAGTTTCAATTGACAAGGAATTACTGATCTACAAGACGATGTTGAAATCTGTTTGGATCTACAGACTAAAACTGTAGGGAATAGCAACATTTTCTAACATCAAACGCATCCGATCCTTTCAGTACAATGTTCTTTGACCAATAGTCGATGCCTCGTTCTATGTAACCAACAACCTTTTCACCTCATTTATCATAGACTTTATTCCCGAAAAATTCTCCAAATTCCATTAGAACCTTACGTATCATCCAAATCCTCTTGCACATTTCCTATCTAGCACCACCCATAAATCTATAATATAACCCACTATAAACCACCCATGTAATATATAATATGATACATATAATAATTAAATTATTAAAAATTGTCTAAAATTAATATAAAAAGAATCTGAATAAAAGTCAAACTATAAAAGTCAAATTATTTTTTAAATGTTCTGACATAACGTCATCTACCTTTTATAAAATAATATTCGCACGTTTACATAGTAACAATTCATATTTAATTAGCTCAAGAGAGCGTGATAAGCGTGTGTAATTTAAATAGCATTCTGTAGTAAATAATTTTAAAAAAACTTTATCATACGTGTCCAATTCACATTTGCTATCTCAAAACAAATTAATTATGCTTTGTAATATCTGTCTATGTTGTGTTGGAAAAAAACTATTAGTGGATCACATTTATTTTTTGTCAAAAATTATCATAATTTCTCAAAACTTATAAAGTCATAAAATATTTACAAAATTCACGTATCGCTGGCAATATGATTAAATAGATTTAAAATTAGAAGTATGTATTTATTCCCTTGAAAGGATTCTAATTAATGAAAGTGTGATACTTGACAGGCATTTTAGTCGGATCACTGGCGCTGAGATATAATTCTTGCGTAGAGCAGTGGGAAAGACTGCGTCAGAAACAATTGAATAAGAGGGCAATTTGAGGTGCCTAGATTGAAGACAACCATGAAATACAAACAGTTAAAATGGTTTGGGCATGCTTGTCGAATGGATGAAGTGAAAGAACTCAGGGTACTGGAAGCTAGACCTACATGTTCATGACCACGTAACAGGCCAAAAATCTATCAGGAATATATCCAGAGGTATGTGTAATACAAGTATTAAAATATATGCTAAACGTCTCAATAGATTTTGATTTATACTTAATGAAAATGAATAAATTAATAGAGAAAGATAGAAAACGACCTAAAAAATAAAAATAAAATAGAACGGAAATATTTAAATATCGAAAAAATGAAATTTTCTTATACAATACTTGTAGGATGAATTTCTTTATCGCTCAGCATTTCTTGAAGATATCCTTATCTTTGTGCGGCTTTTACCTCCACTAATAGTTTTTATTAACTGGCACCATTTACGATAGAAATCAGGGAATCATAATGAATTTAATAAAATATTATGGTGTCTTTCCGTAGCTGTATGGCTCAAAATTATTCTAATGAATCCACCTTGTGCACAACAACCGATGAGGAGAACTTAACGATACATTTTCTAGATATTCTTCAAACTCTTTCATTTCTATCTGCAGTGTTGACTATTAATCGCGTTTTATCATTCCTCAAGATTTAAAGATTGTTTTTTTATTTCCCATTAAGTCATTTTTCAAAGTAGTCGAGATAATCGAATCTATACAATAAGCAATAAAAATTAATATTAATAATAATTACTGAATCAGTTCCTTGTCCCCTCATGGATACTTGATTAAATAAAGTCCATTACTTAACCGACAATTAAATAAATAAATAATTTGAAAACCGCAGAAAAAAGTTAGACTTTTAACTTTGTATTTTTTGCTTCCTAATATCGTTGTTATGTTTCTGTACCTTAAAAGCAAATACCTTTAGATACCTTAAGTAAACACTATATTTTTCATTTATTTGTCTGAAACTTGCCATGCCGGTGACAAATATGGACCTCGTTTCACAAAAGGTAATTTTTTTTGTTTTCATATTATATAAAATGGTATAGTCTGTTGCAAAGAAACGCTACACTAAAATCAACTATTAATACAAATTTTCGATTTCTAGTACGGATTGATAAGATTTTCATTAAAAACATTATCTTGTTATCAACATCGTCGATGTCAAAATTCATACATCTTATCTCAGAAGTTTGTGAGATAGGTATGTTAGTATGATTAAGGAGGTCTGAGGAGGATCATGGTCGAAACCCCACAGGTGAGTTCGAAACACTCTCATTATTTTAATATATTCTCACAAAATTTTATTAGGTTGTTCATTATTTCATAACCAGTTTATTAGTGAATAAATTTTAAGGCGATAAAGCTGATTTTAATAAAAGTGTGCTCAAAACGGGTGCTAAGTAGTGATGGGCGATTAAATAGTACGTACTAACAGTAAGTACAGTAAGTAAAAGTAACTGAAATAATAGGTGGTATGGTACAAGATGGCCATATTAGCTCAGAAATAATAGATCTTAATAGTTTTTGGCTCTTACAAGGAAAAATTAAGAGAAAAACATTTTGATTGCATATCTCCTGTTCGTGTTTGTGTACCGAAATCGTAATTATATAATTTCATGTAATAAGGCACCGATACCCTTGTTAATATCAGTTATTTTTGTATGTAATGTAAATTTTTATGTATAATATTAACAAATCATTTATGCTTCTTGGATTTAGCATTCCAAAAAATAATTTCTTGTAATGTAAACACTAGTTACGTTTATCATATGAAATTTAGATTGTTCAAGGCACTGAGTTTACCAGTACTCTTTTTAGAGAATTTACACGGTCAGTATCATTGAGTCAATATCGAATTTCGTCAATATATTGACCATTTAAGATAAGGACTGTATTGCGTCAAAGGTATTGTTAAAAATTCCTTGTGATCATCCTGAATTCTGCTACTGCGTCTTTCTGTAGTTTATCTACTGGGATGTATCCATCTTCCACAGATAGCACGGAGTATTGTTTACCGAACGCAGCACTTTTCTTCTCCTCAAGCAGACTATCGTTTCTCTGTTACGATTTTCTCTATTTAATTCCTAACTGGTTTGTTATCTTATTCTCCATCTAGAATCTAGTTACTCCGTTTTTCGCTAAAGCACACGTAATTTCATTACCGTGTAATCCACAGTGGATTGGGATACCTCGCTGTACAACTCCTCCATTCGCCAACAAAGTTATTTGATCTCCGGACAGCGCATTGCATCAACCAAGGTCATATTGCTAGGACTAGAAATCGCCAGAATTGCTGCATTGGAGACAAATAAAATTACTGTTTTTGGTACTGCTGTTTCTATCATGTCTAGTAAGAAATCTTGTATAATTTAATGAGAATTTGCTGATTCATTGTGAGTACCAGAAAATTTGGAAAATATTGTTATCGAAATTTCTGAAGTTGACGATTTGTGGACATAGGAAGTAACACAAACACCGGGAATCGCTCAACGTGAACGAATGATGGATTAATCAAAACTACAATATACATAACTTTTATTACAAGAAATTTGCCACATAATACTTGTGTAAACAAACAGTACGAGTGTCTGTTTTAAATCGTCAAATTTTTCTCCAATCTATTTAATTAACAATTATTATTTCTATTACTTACTTTTTGAATCCCCAGAAATATTTCTAGGGAAGAAAAAAAAATTGAGTCTTGGTACAAGTTTATTCCCCAAGGCTACCCAAGTTCTTACTCATTTTTTTTGTATTCGATTCCGTCGAATTGCAAGAAGGTGGATTTTGCAAAAAGTGTGAATGTTTCCAATAAAATAATCAAGATTACAATTGTTTTCTATCCATTACGAAATAAGCGTGGCAAGAAAATAAATCAAACACAAAATCATTGTTTTTCTAAATTATAATAATATGGTAATCAAGGCATGGTAAAGCATTTTGTTTTTATTGCGCAATATTATATTAATTTATGACAATATGGTCAGTAGAATTCTGCCCTTCACACACTAGTTTACTTGATATTTTAATAATTTTCTTTCAACGACCGAAGATGCTTTGTTGTCATGCAGGAGTTTCGGTCCTCAGAATAAGAAATATCCAATCGCTTTTCCTATTGGAACCTATCGGATATCAAGGAACGAGTTTCTTTACTTTTCCGTCCGACTCCATTCAAATCCATTTGACGGGTTGAAAAACTTATTTAGGGTATAGCAACCCCTGAACCTTGACAAAACAAAAACAGAAATATGGTTCTCCAGGCCTCACTACCATTTTATTGGCTTTTGATTGATGCACAGAGCATATTTCTGCACAATACCGAGTTCGAGATCATACAAGTACAATATAAAAGGACTATTGTTAACTTTTTTTTCCCTGAAGAAAGAAAGGCCATGATGACCTAAAAGACAAATTCAAATTCAAGTTCTTCTCAAGTTACAATTTTGTGAACAGTCGACAAAATTTCTAAAGGTTTCGTCTCAATTAAATTTTTTTATTTCTATAAAAATTAACATAATGTAAAAGAAGAATGAATAACAGATATCAACTTTTTTTCTCCCTAAAAATAATTTACTAACAGCTTGCTACATCGGTTGGTCCCCATCGGTCCCCCTAGCTGTCTGTCAAATATAATATATTTTTTTAAAAACTGGCTTATATCTAGAGTATATTATTTAGGAAGAAAAAAGTTTTATAGTCGTTTTTCGCACTTCGCCCTTCGCACTCCTTTGTAAAAAAAAATTCAAAAACGGGTTGTTCAATTTAGCTCAAAGTTAAGGATCATTATAGAAATGGTGCTGTATGGATTTTATTGCTCTCTATCCGCTACTTTCCAATATGTATGCGCGATGGCGTTTTCCTCGATACGTCTATATATCAAAAAGAGCTCATTCGATTTGAACCAAAATTGAGGAATAGTATAAAGATGGTCTACTAACAATTCCATCGAAGTCCATTTAAAATTTATGTTGTTGCAAAGGTATTTCTTAAGGTTGAAACATTATATTTGCGAATACATTTTCTTGCTTTGAATATAAAATTTTATTTAGAGATACTTAATAATTTAATCTTGATAAGATGATATTACATATTTTAAATGAAGGGAGCCAAACGGTTTACATATTTATCGAACCCATAAAGCCTTGAAATGTTAAAAGCCACTTCTGACATCAATGTCAAATCTATTAATAAAATTCGAAACAACAACACTTGAGTAATATTTCATCATAAAGTCATAAGAATAATGCATGTTTCATAACACATCAACAAATGTTACTGTAGGAGTAATTTGTTAATCACTTCTTTATGGCCCAAATGATATCTGAGTTCCCTGTTATATTAGGGCGTATATATATTTAAAATCTTGGTCGCCTTTCTTATCTAACATTTAATAATTTTGAAAAATGGTACTATTACTTCTAAATGTTTTATTTTTTTGATTTTAGATCTTCAAGATGAAAGGAGCTATTTTCGTTTTAATATTCTCCGTAGTGAACTACTGCCATGGATACAACATATTGGTGATGATGCCAATGCCATTCTATAGTCACACTAAATCTTACTTACCACTATTTATCGAATTAGCAAATAGAGGGCATAATGTCACCATGGTCAGCCCGTTTCCATTAAAAAAACCCGTTCCGAATTTCAACGAAGTCGTTATAGAAAACAGTATAGAAAAACTAGGTTGGTATTTACTTGATTGTTGATATATTAACATTTCACATGTGTAGGTGTGTAAATAAAATTTATTTTTTATATAAATTTATAAAACTAGGATTAGGACCCTTTCTGTCACAAATGTGACCGAGAGTCAGAAACTCCAGTTCATGTATTGGACAAATATCTGAATACCATGCTCCTTGTCCCCCGCTGGCACAATAATATAAACCATCGAATTGCCGAATTACTCTTGTAGTTGATCCAACAATTAGATTCCAAACAAACGATGAGGATCAAGATTTCAAAATACAAAAAGGAAAATCTATAAAGAATGCATTCCATGAACAGGAGTACCCATCAAGCCCAAGGTCGATAGAGCAAGAACCTTCCCTCCCACTCTTCCCCCTCCCCCAAGATATTTTATTGCTCCTATTTCCTTAGAGATTAAAGTTATGAAAATAGGTAAACAAAAAAAAAATTGGAAAGCGATGGGCAAGGATGAAAGAACAAGAGCATAGTAGTCAAGGTCAGAAGGCTAATTCACAACGACTATGAGCTGATGATATAAGTTTATCAGAAAACATTTATCTTAAATAAGATTTAAAATATAATATCAGATGGTACAAAATGATAATACATACTATGATAAAATAATTTTTTCTCGCTTTTCTTTTTTAGGAATGGACCAAATGGATGCAAGAGACTTTGAAGATTCAGGATTTTTTTCTAAAATTATTGGTTTGCAGTTATTTTGTCCGAAAGTGATTGACCTTACAATGGAATCTGAAGGCTTGAGAGGATTTCTGAATGATACGGATTCGAAATTCGATATGGTCATCACGGAAACATTTTTTTGCCAGGAACCATTCATTGCATTAGGCCACAAGTATGGCGCTATTCAAGTTTCTGTCGTACCCGTGGCTCTATCTTTAAGTTTGGCTCGCGTCACTGGAAATCCGCATAACCCAGCTTACGTATCCTCAGACATGTCAGCTTCGGATCAAATGGACTTTTGGCAGAGGTCGAAAAACGCACTTGGCACCGTTCTGGGGCATTTTGCAACCCACACATATTGGATTTATATGGTACACCTTCTCAAGTTTTGTTTCTCATTAAATTATAATTATAAACGTTCATGCCAATAATTAATATGTTATTTCAGGACCATTATATGAGACAACAATTCAAAAATCATACTGGTTTTGATAACATGCCACCGATAGTAGATATGTTCAAGAACATATCTCTGGTTCTTTTGGACAATCATCTGGTAGTATCCTACCCCCGCCCGTACCTTTCAAACTTAGTGGAGATTGGTGGACTGACCATTACGGAAGGCGATAAACTTGATGAAGTAATAGACTTTTATTAATATAAATCTGATCTTAAAATAGTTTGTTTGCATGTTTATTTTTATTTATTATTTAAAATGACGGAGATACCGTTGACCGTTGATATAATAAAAACGATGTTTGAGATTGCGGTCAAGAAAGATAGGTGACACCACAAAGTAATGGATCTAAGGAGATCGATAATTCTTTAAATAAGATATCCGATATGAGGGAAAACGTTTAGAGGAGGCAAAACGAGGGTTTTTGGAAGAATGAGATTGTGAATTTAATCCAGGTTTCAGATGCAGCGATTAGGTGAAAAAAGTTGTGGTGAAGAAATCATGAAATTCATCATTTTGGGCGAAAAGTGGCTGTGCGTTAACATGACAAGTTAATAGAACATTAGTCATAGAAAATGGAAGATTGGGTTAGTGAACCTTTAGGAGGAGCTGATGATAAGAAAATAATTATGTTGGATTGACCAGAGATACATTGGAAATACTGAAACGATAATCACAGAGTGAATGAAAACAAGGGACTACAGTAAAATGGATAGAAGTAATAATTCAGATAATATCCTATAATTATAGGAGAGATAACAAACAAAAAAACAGCAAGTCCATATATATAAAAGAGAACTGAAATCTACAACGGTGAAAATGTACAGTAAGGTTAACCTTGAAAAGTTTCACCTTGTCTGCTGTTGTAAGGTATGTGGGAACTCAACAGCAGACTAAAACGTTAGACAAATTGCTTTGTACGATTCGTTTTAGAAATCCTAAGAGAATCGCCTGTCTCCCGTTTTTATGAAGAGTTGAAATGGCTTTATTCTTGCTACCATCGTAAGTATTTTCTAGAATCCTTTCTCTTCCAAGGTGTTCGATCCCACCACCCCTCATACATCTCCGAGTTCCTTAAATTCAAATCCTCTGTTCAGTCTGCCACACTTATTCTCGGCCTTCAGATTTATATACAACGACCCATCGAACTGCGGCTTTAGACAGATCTTCCATTATTGGATGCTCGATCTAATGGGAATCCTTTCCTTCCTACATTTGTAGCTCCCATCCCCTTCCCAATTTTAAATTCCGCCTATTCAATCAATCCATATCCAACCAATATCCATGCATTTGAAAATAGGTGTTCCTGTAAATGTGTATGTACATTATTAGTTTGTTTTTAATTAGGATATTTTTTTTCATTGAATAATGTTAAAAGTTAACTTTTAATTTGTTATTGTTTTTAATTGATATTTTTT